TTTTTTAGTAAATTATATATATATATATATATATATATATATATATATATATATATATACTTAATTAGCACACCGTTAATACGATGAATTTGATGTTTACGGAAGTGCCACGAAGACTTGTTTGACTGTTGTAATGCGAACGATTTATCGCGAGATGTGAGGCTGCAATCCCATTAGGATGAGCGAGGTGAGTCGCGCTCGCTGCTGCAACCGGCGTCCCCCTCAATGGCTTCATGTCTCATCACTCTCCTCACGCCCATGGTGCCAACATCCAGCTCACCTCCTTCGCCCGGTCTCTGCAAGCCACATGCCGCCGCTCATGCTACCAATTTCTTCCCTGTCCTCTCCTCCCCCCGTGCCCTTTCCTCTGCCTTCAGAGGCCACCACCATTTTAGGGGTAATGGTACCATGAGGAGGAGGAGGAGGAGATTGGTGGTGAGGGCTGGGCCCCCTAGCACCAACAGCCTTATCTTTGCCTTCGTGCTCCCGCTTTCCCTCCTCCTCGGCACCATCTTCACTGCCGCGCGTGTCGCCGACAGGCTCGACGAGAAGTACCTTGAGGAGGTACGAGTGTGGCCCGGGACGTGTTCGACATATGTCTTCATACATCCCTTCTTGCAGTAGCAACAAGCCGTTTGAGTGATTTCCGTTTGCAGTTCTTTTGCTTCTTCGTTAATTTGAATTCGAGTTCCTTGTTTGCTCGTGAAGCTCGCGATGAATAAAGCGATCATGGAGGAAAAGGAAGCAGAGGAGGATGATAGTGACAAGGACGGAAAAGTGGCGGCAGAAGAAGATGAAAGCATTTTGCCGGACGAAGAGGAGGGCGTTGCAGCCGTCCCACGTGTTCGGAACCGCCCCAAGCGAGAGGCACAATTGTAGGCCGCATGTGAACTTGTAAGTTCTTGAAGCGTTGGCATTCATCTATGTGTTTGTTCTATGTCACTGACGTGCATAAGGCCTAGAAATTAGCTTTTCTAGTGCAAAAATGTGAACTTGTCATTCAACTCGCTGCATATTATATGTTGAGCCTGGTGTTGCATCCAAATTAGTCTCGTGTCATCTGACTTAGAATTGGAAGTTACATGATGTTATACCAAATTGATTGAGATACATTATATTGAACAAACTTGAAAACCATCAGCTTGAAATGTTAATTCTCCATAGAACAACAAATGCACATCAGTAGTAGCTACTAAGAGTTCATTAGAGGCTTATGGCCCAGTGAACATTCTGTTCCTTTAATCCTTGTCTTGGCAGTCCTATACAAACCTGTGCTCTAGATCCCAATCATACCTTACATCTCTGAGCTTCAGATAAGATGCTCCTGAAGATTGAGCAGAATAAAAAGAATAAGAAGCAAGCAGATTAAACTACTTTTACATTCCAAAATGTATTATGCAGTGCAAGTATTATTTGAAGGTTAGGAAAGATCATAACTCTTTTCTTACATTTTCCATATAGGGTAGACAGCAGCATAATTGGAAGGAGCTTGGATATGATTATAGCCTATTAGATGATATTTGCTCCAACAATAAGCACCAAAAACATAATTTGCATGACTGAGCTCCTGTAACCTACATGGTGTAAAGATGAAACTCAATTATTCACTTAGCAGTTGGCATTCTCTAACTAGACAACATAAATGGAGGAAGTCGATGTATATTATTTTGTATATTTCTTCAGCGTGCCTAAACAGAAGTATGAGAAACTTGTATATAGGAATTTTGATATCAGTTGGTTTTTGTATGCACCAATCTTAAGATCTCAAAGTTCTTCATATTTATCACATACCCTGCTCAGCTCAAAGTTTGAGTACCCTGTGCATGATGCTAAGACAATAGCCAAGCAGCTGTTGGCTTTCAGCATTTTGATCATAATAGGCACCAAAACTTTTATATCAAAATCAAATTGAATTATTCTCAAAATCAGTGTTACATTGCAAAAATCAAAATGCCAACTTAACATCTTGACATTAATCTGTCATTATGATATTTGCATCCTGTACAAGATACCTACTAGTATTGATCAATCAATTTGTTATGACCATTCAATAAAAAGAAAACCAATTGTCTTTTTTTGTGTCACACAGACAATAATGCATATTTTCATTATTAGTGAAATTTTACATTCCTATAGTACTTGTAATCATGAATATATATATATATATATATATATATATATATATATAATGGCATGTACATAAATAACTACAAAACATTTAATGGCAGTACATCTAAAGAAGCAAGAAAATCCATTAGCAGAAAGTCGAGGTCTTTCTGTCTGGTAACTCTAAACACAAAGGGTATTCATCTTGTTGGATGAAACACCACATCTAGTAACTCCTAGGAGGGTTTGAAAAATAAGGATTTAAGTATTGTCAAATAGTCCATTTTTGTTCCTAAAGTTCTTAACCCAAATTCTTAAGCTTCTTAGGTGTCATGGGCATTAATTTAATATAGTCCAAAACATGTACAGGTTCTCTCATTCTTGAGTGATGTCTAAGAGAAAAAAAATTATCTAGAGTAAGAGAACCTCCATTACCTGTAATTTCTCTTTAATTTGGTCTCCATAAGCTTATTGCCTTGAAAAAAAAAAAAGATATTTAGGGAAGTTAAAAAAGAAACCAACAATTCCGCCAACATGATATCACTTACATATTTGCATCCAAGCACTATGTTTATCATTTATAATAGGAACCCCTTTGTGAGTGTGGTTATATAAGATATTTCAAGTTTCCCCTCTTATGTCAGAAAGCTTGAACACTATATTAGAATCTCACATAGGCTATAATGAAATGGATATAGAAGGATCCAAATATACAAGTAACTTGCAAGTACTGATTAAAGAGCAAGAAAATATACTACTGAAGATTAACAAGCATATTGAAGAATTCTAATTTAAGAAGCATATTTGTTTTATTTTTTGTTATGTTTATTAGAAAACTAATCTCATGAATGATATCAATCATGGGAGGCTTGTTTTGTATACCCGGACATGTTTTTTTTTCACGATGATAAATTGAGATTTTTCAGCCATTACAAATAGTTAATCTGTAAAAACTACCAGTTTATTCATTTGAAATTACGCTGGTATCTATAAACCCTCTTGACATCTACCTAGCTCGTGAACAGATTATGCTGAACAAGACCATCCCATTGATAAGCTTATGAGAATGAAGCAAAGATTCAGCTCTGCCAACAAAAGCCTCCAATTATTTTCCTCCACAATTCTTCACCCTGTTGAACCCCAAGTCTGGATCGATAGCTTCTCCTTTAGTTAAAAATCCAAGTGATTCGAAGCTTGTTATTTAAATGTGATGTCTAATGCTTGCTTGATTGTTTCCTTCATTTGGTTGTTAATCTGTTAGGCACAATGTGTAGAGGTAGAAAAGATGGCACTGACAACCTTCAACCTCACAACCTTATCATTACTTGCTTCTTTTCTATTTGTTGGTAGCATTTGCCAATTTTTAATGCTGCTGATGTTTAAGGAATTCCTATGGTTATTGTCTCTCATCCAATAGGCGACGATAAGCCTTTGGTTAGGTTTGATCGTGCGTGTCGTGGGTGATCAGTGTTTGAGTTGTGAAAATATATGCCTTTAACTTGCAATATGTTCACAAGACTTGTCTTTTTTTTATTTTTCGTTTTTTCTCTCTCATCTAAGAACAATGCAGTTGATATCTTTTAACAAACAAAGAGTAACATAGTCTCGATACCACCTTCCAGTTTCTGGCTTCAAGTGAAGTCCTCATCACTGACCTTTTTACCACTCTCACACATCCTTGGAGATCATGTTTGAGTTCCTTTATGCTGAATCTTGTGCAAAAGGGAGGATAAAAAAGCTTATATGAGGCACAGATGAATCTTCAGCACTGATGCTAGAATTAGAACTTTGGTGTTAAAATTAAATCCAAATAGTAAAATCTTTCTTTTGCTGAAATTAAAGCTTTGCTGATTGATTGAACCAGCTGAAATGTCATAACAATGATTCCCCATAATACAAAAATATTTATCACATTGAACTACAGGAAATCTAGAAGATCCAATTGTTTTAGACCTTTAACGGCATGAAGCATGCACACAGCATGGAATTTCCCATGATACATTACTTAGACAAACAAGAATAAGATTTAACAGTGTGAAAATTAGCATCATCTTCACATTACCGTAGAACACCAAGAAAGAACACGACAAAACCTATCATCATGGAGAAATCCATCAACGTATAAAATTAGCTGACAGCATCCTCTTCATCCTCAAAACTCAAATTTAAAGCTTGCAACTTGAAGCCTGCTCCTTGTATGGCCTCAAGTAAATTGGAAGCCACTCCAGTAGCTTGAACCGTCGTCTGTTTTGTTAACTGCAACATGAAAAGCCATTTATAAGAAGAAACAGCATAGGAACCATTTAGATGATACTTACACTTGTACAAAGCAACAACTTGCTGAGTTATCCCTTTCTTGCCCAAACATATCCACAAGTCACACCAGTGTTAGAAATGGGTGTCCTATAATGTACCTCTTCCATTTCTCTTGATACAAGAGAATGAGATCACTAAAAGACTTGTTCTTGCTCTTCCATTAATGACTAATTGCATGTTCACAGTTAAGAAAGATCTGGTGGGGATTGATACTCAAAAGAAAATCTCATGAAAACAATACAAGTATCCTATATATGATGCTTGGGCTTTGCCTTTCAATGAAGCAAACAACAATGCAAAGTAGCATACTACCAAGTGAAATAAAGGAGACGGGAAGACTGTCCTATGCTTAGCCGACACGACAGAGATGAAAAGATAAGCAAGACTCGCAGGGGGATAAAAGAAGGAAAACACGAATAGAAACCTCTGATAGAGATAAAGAATGATACGAGCATCCGACGGACAGAAACTACTTTTTCCTGAATTGAGGAAATTGAAAAGAAAAATAAAGAATACATTCAAGCACTGGACAGATCCAGTGAAACATAAAAAATCGAACAAGTTGGTCAACTTGATGGAACCGCAAATCAACTGCTGAACAACACAAAATATTGTCATCTGAAACCCAGCATATGACAGTATGAAAGATACTTGATATAACCATAGAAAAAATCCTTTCCTAGGAGATTTACAAGGCTATTGTTTCTCCAAAGTTTTGCCAAAGCAGTCAACCTCATCTCCTCATAAGAGCAGCCACTTCAGTTCCTAAAATCTCTTCCTTGGCTAGTGCTACAGCAAATAGAGTCTGCTGCACAGAATAGCCAAAAAGAGGGATGAACAAAACCCTAAACTGGCTGAACCTGTCGCTTGAATCAGGGTAGGAGTTCAGACTAATCTGTTATGCAGCACTACCAGAAAGAAAGCTATTAAAGCTTAATTACAATATGTACAAATTTTATGTAGAGAAAATAGATATTTCCAACAAAAAGAAGGACAGTGGATTATATGAATGCAGGATTGCTAAGACATTTGATTGCTTCATGAAAGTTGCAAGGTATAGTGAACCAGAAACTTAGAACTACTTTCTAGCAATATTAACTTAACATGATTAACTCATTGTAATAACCGGCGTTGTGTTTGTAGTTCTTGCTAAGTGTGGGCTTATAAGAAACACTACATTCATCCTGAATTCGACATAAGTTTCTGCCATGGCTCAAACAATATCCGAACAAACCCAAATTCCAAATGACTTAATGCATGACTATAAAGAGAACAGTCTCCATAAATACCGTCGATATACCTCAACAGTTGCAATACCCTCAGCCACTCGAACATTCAAATCACTGACTCCTTCCTGTCCCTGGAAAATACATCAAATTAGCATAATTCCGATTCAGGGATGATCATATCTTACAGCTATATCACAACAGGAAAGAACTTAGTCAGTACGATCATCTTTAAGATAAACTAACCAACCTCTAAAGCCTTGCTCACACCAGAAATCGCCGACTCATCCATTGTTCCTTCGGCCTTCAAATCCGCACACCGAAACCATATGAAACACCCGCAAAAACCGAATTTTTAGGGCACAAACAGAAAAAAGAGATTGAAAAAGGCGGAACCTGGAAGAACATGGTGAGCATGTCCGAGGGCGAGACCGCGACGGCGACCGTGGCATCCTCCTCCTCCGCCGTCGTTGCCGCAGCCGCTACTGCCTCCGCCGTTGGTTCCTCCTCCGAGGCCGCGGCCTCCCCTTCGGCGACGGCCTTGCGGGATCTCCAGGAGGCCGGGAAGGGCTTCGACGGAAGGAGGAAGAGGCTCCGTCGGATGAGAGGGGATGGGAGCGGAGAGAAGGAGAGGGAGAGGAGACGAGGAAGGGGGCGGAAAGAACGGGGAACGACGCCTCGGTGAGGGATAGATGAGTAGAGTGAGGTAGAGAGTGCGGAAATGGTGGCCATTCCTTTCTCCAAGTTGCGACTGCGAAGGCTTCAGTCGAAGGTTGAGACGAGAGATTTAGGATAACGCGGATGGCCGAAGAGGAGAGAGAGACGGGTCATAGCGGCGTGAGCCATTATCGACCAATCTCTTGATTCGGCTCAACCTGTACGGTTCGACTCGGATTCGTTCTCGAGCGGTTCTGTTTCGATTGGGTTGAGTCAAGTCGAGCGGAAAATGGACCGTCGGTTTGTGTAACCCGGCTAGGGTTAGCCAGGTTGATTCACCAGGGTAGTTGACGGTCTTTTATTTTTATTTTTTTTATCCTCAGCAAAATTGAAAATATATATATATATATATATATATATATATATATATATATATATATATATATATATATATATATATCAACGGTTTATTATATTTGTATATAATGTTATGAAATTTAAAATAGTTAATCTAAATAACATCATATTTTTATATTCCAAAGTTGCAAGGATCGATATGTAAAATTCCGCATGCTTTGGACTCGATTCCATACCCTCAGCCAGCGTCGTTCAACGCACCTCTGCTTTCTTCTCCTTTTCCTTTCCATACCCCCTGCCGGCGTCGTTCAACACACCTCTGTTTTCTTGTCCTTTTCCTCGACAACGCACGCTTTGGGACTCGATTCCATACCCCCGGCTGGCGTCGTTCAACGCACCTCTGCTTTATTCTCCTTTTCCTCGACAAAGCACGTTTTGATCGTTCCGAACTCGACCTCCTCGAGTATTCTCATCTTCTTTGCCTCCCCCATTTTCTGAGATCTCTGCTTGAGGTGTTGCGTCCCTTTGGATACTTAAGCTTAAGCCACGCGGAAGAGTTTCATCTGTTAGATCGGTCCAATGGAGGGGAACAGTTGGGGGCTGGCTGAGGGTGAACTTTCCGCTGCCGCTAATGGGAGGTCTGCCGACTGGAGGACCCAACTTCAGCCCAAGGCGCGCCAGATGATTGTAAATAAGATGTAAAGTGGATTATATGTTTCTCCTTAAAATTTCCTTCTTTTTGATTTGCTTTAAAGATTATTAATGATGTGACGGTGGATCATCACCATGGATTATGAATTTGATAGATGAGTTATCGATGTTGGGTGAGATTAGGTCGTCTCTGTTGCTTGGTTGTGAAATTTTGATGCTTTTGCAAAAACATCATCGTGAAGTGTTTTTGCAAAAACATCATCTTGAAGGAGTAATATTTTATTCATATATCAATCTATCGAATTTGTTTTCTTGAAGGAGTAATATTTTATTCATATATCAATCTATCGAATCTCAGCTACTTCAGATTCCCCATTTACTCTTCCAGTTTCTGTTCTTCGGAAATTGAGTGAATTGCACCCCACTTAAATAGTAACGTTACACCGGAGATACACAATTTGATTGTTACCTATTACACTGGAGATGTCGCTGCACCTTAACTGCCCTACCTTGCCATATGAGCCATATATTCTTCCAGCTCCCCTTTTTGGTAGACAGATTCATGGTGTAAAGAACTTTAGAGTTGTTTCTAAAAAACTAACCATTTTGTACTTTTGACCATCCATTTTATCTATATCCTTTGTTCTTGGTTTAGTTGTACCTATTCTGAAATCCTTGTATCTGGAGTTTTTCTCCTCAAGTTCTAAATAGGAATTTTTGTGAATGCTGCTCTCATAAAGGAAAGTAATTTAATTAGGACCATTGGAACCATAATAGATTGCTTGGAAAGTTAATTCATATATAGTGAATTCAAATATAGGCTAAGTTGATCATGCTAAGAGGAACTTTCTTATGTACTATTGCCATGACACAAGAAATTGCCCCTTATGAATTTTATGGATCGGATGTTGACATATAATGTATACCTCTTCATTTATTTCTCAACCACAGTGTTAGTTATGTTTAAAACCCCATCAGATACCTTTTCTTAGTTCATAAGAACCCTTTTCCCTCAGTTTTCCATCATGTATATTTATGAAATTGATAGCACTGGCATTGATATTAAATAAAATTGTCTTTAGAAGTCTTGTTTTGTAATTTGAATCTTCGTTCAATCATTTTCTTTCGGAGTTCAATATGTCTCAAAGTTCAATATGTTCAATCTTGACAAATTCTTTGTTCTTGCACATAGGTTACATGGTTCTTGTCCTTCTATCACCTATAATCCTATTGTTTCTCAAAATTTCTTCTGTTCAAAACTTTTGTTGTATTATTTCAATGTTTTCTGTTTGTAGACTCGAGACTTTGAAGAGGCACCTACCAAACTCTGGACCTGAGGATTTGAATCAACTTCGGAACATTGCTGCTCGGTTCGAGGAGAGGATATTCACAGAAGCTGATAATCAGGTACATTTTATTAGACTGACTTCAAATTCAGTTGTTCTAAATTACTACTCTGTCTGATTTTACTAGGATGGCATTACCCTCTAATAGGTGCATGTTCAACTAGTTGTTATGGAGGCATTTGCTTCTTGTCTGATGATAATCAATACTTTCGTATTTTCTTCCCTGTGGTAATGGCTACAAGTAAAAAGAGCATAGCTTTGTAGTACAGAAAGCAATTTATTTTTTGTTTCTTTGTTGGTGTGTGTAATTAAATCACAGATAATTCTGTTTGTTAGAATCTCACCCTTCAGAAAACATATGTTACTTATGAACCGTTGGCTAACTAAACTGTACGTATGTTAATATACTTTGTAGATGCATTGTTATAAGCATTTTGAATGGCAAACTTTGGCCCCTCCTTGTCTTTATCCTTGTATATGTTAACTAAACTGCACTTGTATTTTTTTCCTTTTTCTTTCCTGTTGTTGTTGCTGTAAAAGTAAGACTTTGAAGAAGCACTCTTCTAACTCTTTGTCTCTCAGTCGGAGTATTTGAGGAAAATTTCTCTGAAATTGCTCTCAATGGAGAGTAAAACTCAGCATTCTGCATCAATCAACACTTCAGTGTCCAACAACAACAACCAAAATTCTACAGATCCAGGTACTTAAAAGTTGAGTTCCTTTTAGTCACAAATCAGGTATTTTTAATAATTGATGTGGCATTTTAGTTGGAATATGGAAGTCATTTTTCCCTTTTCAAGTATATTAATTTTGTTCTTTTTCCTTTTAAAGATGAAGTGTTAATTGCACTTGTATATTGCTGAATCGAACTCTTTATTTCCTTGCTGCTAGCTGCTCAAGAATTTCTTCCTGTGTTCTTTACTGTCAGCATGATATGGCTGAAACCTGCTGTTTGTCCACTGGAACTGATTGTCCATTATTACTAGTCAAGTTTTTGACAGGGTATTTTTGCAGTCTGATTTTTCTGCCACCTCTGATCTATCCTGTTTTTCTTTTTTTTTTTCTCATTTTTCAAATGTATCTCCTTCGAGACAATTTCTTAGTTGGATTTCTGAAATGGTGCTTATCGTTTTGACAGGAGCATAATTTTCTTATCCAATTTATTGCTTGATTTAATTATTTTGTTTTGTATCCAATCTCCGAATTGAATGAACCAAGTTCCAGAGTTTCCTTTTTCTGAACTCTAAATTGTGAAGCTGTTTTCCATCAGCTTTTGATATGCCTTTAGCGAATAGACTAAGGTAACCTTCTTGATTGTTTTAACCCTATTTGAATGTTGAATAATTTTGCATTAGAGAATAGCTTGTCACTCTCACTAGCTGGTTTTACACTTATTTTGAATATATAAAGAATGATGCTTTAGTGTTTTTTTCATAAAATCTTTGGTCAAGAATGCTAGTTATGAAAGTTCTTGAGCTGCGATAATATTATGGATGAATTGTTTGATTTAGTTTACCATATAAAACAACAATAAAGAATCATAGAATAATAATATTATGTTCTGATCTAGTGAAATGTTTAATTGATATTGATGTGGTGGATGTCGGTGATGCCCCAGTTAGCCCGACTTGATTCAAGGCCGTGTGCACAAGAAATTTGAGGTGGTTTGGATGTCCATCGAGGAGCCAACCTATACGAAGATCGAGGTCAATGGGGTGCTTGACTAGGTCCCTTCGACGCTCGAGTTAAGGTGGAAACTAGAGTCACGAGAGAATAGTAACTAATATGAGAAATAGTAAATTGGTGGGTTTTATAGTGGGATAGGCTCAAGGAATATTTTGCAGTATGGGCGGACTATTCCTCCTTAAGTCCAGTACTATAGCTATGCTTTGATGGTTGCCATCCTGGCTGGGTCCCATCCCTCTCGTAAACCGAGCTGCCACATGGCGAGCTATTATTGGGGAGTGAACTTCGCCTCTATCATTTGTCCCCCTCCCCAATGGTGTGCTTCGAGACCTTCCTATAGGTATCAAAGCATGGCCTAGTATCAACTTAGTACATTGCGTCTAGGTCATCATGTGTATGGTGGTTTGGACGTGTCGTGGTTCTGGTGTCCCATACTAGGAAGGCATCTAGGGCATGGTTTCATGCTCGACTCAAGGGAGGCATCTCGAACGTGTTTTCATGCTTTCGCCCAAGGCGCTTCACTCTTGGGTCGAGGGAGGTGTCTCGGGTGCATTTTCTCACTTGGCTCAAGGGAGGTGTCTCAGGCGCATTTTTGTGCTTAGCCCGAGGGAGGCATCTCGAGTGCTTTTTCACGCTTGGTCCGAGGGAGGAGAGCTTGTTTTGATGGATAATCAACTTTCCCTCCGGTCAACCTTCGATTGGTGGGAAAATTGCAAGTGTTACATCAGCATAACATCGAGTGGGAACTTCTTGAAGTCGAGGTGATGATTTGATGGGACCTTAAGAATTTTAACCAGTGCTTAAGGACTATGAGAGGGCCTCCTACTATAGTGGGGCTCACCTTGCAATCTTTAAGCCTTCTGCCTTTCCTCTTCCTCTCTCAAACTTCTAAAGTATTGGATGTCTTCTTCATCAGGTCGAGAAGATTTCTTCTATGTCATTCAAGTCCCAAGGGAGTCGAAAACCTATCCTTGGATAGCCCAAGGATGAGAGGGGGTGCACTGTCCTCTTCCATCTCAAAAGAGATAATTAGAATTGATCTAAAGGTCGATAGGGATCTTCAGGCTATGAAGGATGCCTATGACCAAGTCTAGGGTCATAACTCCCGAGTACTTGAAGCACTTGCACCTTAAGTATTCTATCCCAATCGAGTATCGAATGTAGGTACCTTAGCCTGGGTAATGACCCTTTGATCCAATGTGTAGTTACTTTTGCCCATATTGTCTATACGTCGGAGGCAAGACTTGTGGAGGATCTCCCCATCTGAGATGGTGCCCAACTTGTGGCATTGTTTGATGGCTTTCCTTAGGGAATGTTGCCGGCATAACTCCGACTTTGAACCTGTTCCTCTCCTGCTTTTGAGTCTGCAAGAGGGCAAATATTTATTTTCTTGCCCCTCGGGAGGGGTTTATAATAAAGGGAGCCTCGACTTTCAATAAGGGTTGGAAGGGGTGGTATTTCTTCATCACGATCGATTTGGAATAGGGCTTTAGTCTGGACTGGTTGACACACATATTCACCAACACCCCACCCTTCCTGATCGAGAAAGAGAGAAGTCAGGTGGTTCGGCTAGGAGAAATCTTATCTTCCTCTGCCATAAAATACATGGATGAGGATTAGTTAATCATTGTTGGCCTAAGTCCAGCTTCTCGAGGTAGACCCTATCTCTTGAGGTGTTTCAAATTTGGCTTTCCTGACATGCTGTTGGCTTTCCTGACATGCTGTTGGCTTTCTTGTTTCTCCTCTATAGGCATGAATCTTGGAGAGTTGAAGCGATGGGTCGTAACGGCCATGTCGAGGGCATCGACTCCTCCAACGCTAGTGCTAATGCTAGCACTAGTAGAGCCGTTGGCTTTAGCTTTGCCCGAGCTAACCCCTACGACCCCTTGGGTGGCCAACACGGAGCCTCAGCCCCAGTTGTTGTCAACCCCAGCAACACCTCGAAAGCGAGGAGTCATTCAGAAACGGAAAGCTTCCAAGGTGTTAGGGAGCCACCCCTCGAGCCCCTATAAGCCTACCAGGAAGACCTCGTGTCGGGGTCTCGTTTAGGACTTGTACAAGTATCGACTAGTCCCTTTCGTAGCCATGAAAATAGGGGACCTCCCCGACCTAACTAAGGGAGTGCCATTAGATCCGAGATGGGAGGGGCTAAAGACCTCCCAAATTGTCCGGAAGGACGTCCATCAAGCCACTGAAAACCTCCGAGGGGCGCCAATCACCCCCCTGGCTAAGGAGGTTTACACAATGCCTTCTGAAGCATTGATTGAGGCAGTGGTCAAGCTGGCGGTTGTGGTAAGTTGTTTCTTGAGCTGTTGCCCCTCAGTCTTTTGCTTCTCTTTCTTTTTCACTAATTGTCTATATTTCCTCCCTGCAACACATTCACTATCTGATGGGGCTGGTCGATCGAGTTCAAGACTTGGGGGTTGTCGTCTCCAAACAAGCCGAAGAGATCGATCGATTGTTGGCAGAGAATGACCAGCATAAACAAGTGGTTGACCTGCAGTTGGAAGAGAGGGTGGCCCAATTAGAGGTGCAACTCGGTGCCGAGAAGGAGTGGGCTAAGGGCCCACAAAAGCGCAACACCTCCTATGCCGAGCAACTAAAGGCAATACGTGACAAGTATCGCACCATGGAGGACAACCTACTGAAGCATGAGGCTGAAATAATGGAATTGAAGGTGCAGCTCAGTGAGCGAGATCGCCACATCATAAAGCTGGAGGAGTAGCTCAAGGCTGAGGCAACACTACTGCCAAAGAGGGAGACTAAGGCGGTCACTCGATATAAGACCTTGATCGGGTTCAATAAGGGGTTGCTGTGTTCGGGTTACTCCTCATTCCAATATGGCTACCTCCTTGCCCTCGCACGCTTCAAAGCAAAACATCCCGGGCTGGAGGTGGAGGAAGACCCGTACACTGACCATCCGGAGGACAAGGACGTATCGGTGCAACTAGAGGTGCCCTTCAATTACAATCCAACTGACTCCTTTATTAACGTAGGCACTCTAGGCACCTTGGCCGCACAAACCCCCTCGACTATCGCTCTCGCCCTGGATGCTCCTCGAGCAACCGAGTAATATGTTTCCTTTTGTTTGTTTTTATCTTTAGTTTTTGTGAGTCGGATTTCTTCTACGTTGAAAGCTGTAAAGACCTGAATCATATACTATAACTTGTCCTTCTATAAGTGAAAGTTCCTCATATTTCATTTACAAGTTGTTTATTGATGCATCCATCATATTTCAGTTACAAATCTCTTGTACAAGTTCCTCGGTTAGTTCGCTCATCGTTTGAGGCCCGACATAAGGGGTAGAACTTTTTTAAGTTTGATATGTTTCATGTACTTGGGAGCAATGTCCCTCTCGTCGTCTCAAGTCGGTAAGTTTCGTCTCAGACCACGTCAATGGCTTGATATGGTCCTTCCTAATTCGGTGCCAGCTATCCTTTAGAGCGAGTCGTGTCACTTATTTTCACCTTTCGAAGGACTTAGTTACCAAGCCTAGTACTTTAGGGATAGACACATTTGTTGTAAAGCTTGGTGACGACTTTCTTGTAGTTGAGCATCTTGAAGTGTGCCTTGGCTCAGACTTCATTATTATGGTCTAGATTTGCTCGAAGTCCCTTCTTAGAATGACCTCATCATAGCACTCGACTCAAGAGATCGGGAACACCATCTTGAGAGGTAATTTGCCTCTGTGTCGAATGCCAAGCTAAAGGGTGATTCGCTTGATCCGATCTTTGGAGTCATCCGAGAGGCCCACCAGATGTTGGTCAGCTCCTCTTCCTAAATACCTTTTGTGCTAGCGACCTGTTTCTTGAGTCCTTTCAATATGGCTCGATTTGTCAACTTGGCCAGTCTATTGGTTTGGGGGTGGGCCACTGAGTCGAACCTTAACTGAATGTCGTAAGATTAGCATAATTCTTTGAACTTTGTATTGTTGAACTAGTGATGTAGAACAGAGTAGAGAGAAAGCAAGAACAAGATAACAAGAGAGGAGTGAAATTATAAAGGAGATTAAGA